GGTGGCAAAATGAAAGCTGTTACTGCATAATCAACCTTAAATGAACCAGTGACAATAAAGAGACGGATTTTGTATGAAGTACTCAAGTGAGTACCTTATCACTGGGATTTACAAGTGTGGGACCAGAAGATGTGTTGTGCTTGGAGGTGCTAGCAAATGAGGCCCTGAAACCTTGCAAGCTGTGCCGTCATCTAGAAGCTAAACATGGACAATTTTCATCCAAGAGTAAAAAGTGATGTTAATCCATGCATGCCACTGGGAGTGAAAACCCAAGGCAGTGGAGGTGTCCTACTAGCACTTGTGATAAAGTACAGGAATAAGCTAGATGTTGGGCCTGATCTCTGCTTCAAGCTGGTGTCCATTCAGCCTGACATCAAGACTTTGACAGGTGCTATGCAGCAACATCACCGTTCTCATTAGGCGAGTTTCAGGTGACATGATGTCATGCTACCCAACGTGATTCATATCCAGCGCAGTGAGAAAAGCTGTTTGCGAGTGGTTTCACAATAACTGGAGTAAATGTCAAGCTACAGATTTGAGAGAGTGACACTCAGTTTTGTGCTGTTAAACACCTCAAACATTACACAACGATGAGCTGAGCTGTGAGAGGCTGTAATAACTATCAGAATGCATATAGATATAGAATTGTCGGTCTCAAAATTTGAATGATTAAATTTTTGCTTCATATTGGGTTGGATATTGTGACATTTTATTTATAAGTGTTTTATTATCCACTGTCAAACAGCCTGGATACAGGCTTAACAATTCAACATTTGCACTTAATTTCTTACATTTGCTGCATGTAGCCTATGTGAATGCATTTTTAATTTTGCATTGTACTGCCAGATAGACATACATTCACATGGAATTGTTTTGTGTACAAAATAAAAAAAATAGATGGAGAAATGCATAATCTTAGTCTCGTGGGTTGGTCAAAATTGTTCATCTGATGGTGGAGAAAAAAAAAACTGCCATTTAAAATGAAGACACCCACAAAAATATCTAACTGGAGGCACATCATGATTCAGGACTTATGCCGCTAAGAGCTGGTGCCAGAATTATTAGACAGTTTTAAGAAACAGCAAGAGACTTTGTTGTTTATGACCAAATTACAAACTGGCTATGTGAAGGAATCATGTCCTGTCTCCTGCACGCCATTTCCAGTAGGTGAGAACAGGACTGATACAGACTACCTCCTGCTGTGTGCTAAATATGTGAAATGGCAAATCTCAACAAAGCCCACGCCTGATTTTGTGGACACAGTCCAGAATTCGTGTGTGAAAACGGCTACAGAGAACTCAAAGGGTAACACTACCCAGTGTTGATTGCGTACCATGCTTTATTCCTTTATTTTATGGCATGTCTCACATAAAGAAGGCATTATTACAATCTGTCCATTTCCATTTTTTATTTTAGGCTTAATACCTCTCAAGGAAACCTGCACTTGGTGTTCACAGGAAGAATATGCTTAACTCGTGATAAGTTATAGATGATACTAACCTCCGCCGCTTGTTCAGTACACTTGCAGCAGTGGAGCCTTGTTGGTTTTGCCGGTCTAATATGGACTGTTCATTACGCCACTGACAGAGAAAGAGACACAGCAATCAGTGATCAACAGCTAGTTTTATAATTACACAAGTCACTCCAAATATTACCAGTTTAAGATTAACATTCTCACATTGGCTTGTTTCTGTAATAACTCCTCCAGCAGTCCCTCGATACTTTCATCAGCTACATCAAACGGCGTCTGACCCTGCAAAGTTCATAAGAGGAAACGTGACAAAAAAAAAAAAACATGAAATGGAAACAAACTGAAAAACTGTGTGCTGTTGTAGTTACAGCATAAAGCTCTCATGTATTATACCAAATTTTGTTTAGCTGTCCTGATAAATGTTCTTCCTGCAAATGAAAGAACATGTGTATGATGTGCTAAGAAAAGATTTCTCGGGCCTCACCGCATTGCTGCGGGCCTCCATATTACACAGCTGTTCAGCCAGAATGTGACAGGCCTCCCCCTGACCCCAGTGCGCAGCTGCATGGAGAGGTGTCCAGCCGTCAAAATCCATAGCTGACACATCCAGCCCACACTGACACAGTATCCTGGACAACGCAAGAGCAAGGTGACAACGGAAGAGCAGGAGCAACTGCATGAGACTATGTAAACCAAAACAGATAAACTGACACTGCCAAAGTTTTCCTCTGGCCATTCAATCCTAGACAAAGAAAATAAAAAAGCCATTCTAGGCATAGATCAATTATAGAACAAGTCTGAATTGTTTACTTCAGGGCCTCTAGATAGCCCTTGGCTGCAGCCACATGCAGCGGGGTGGCCCCGGTCCTAGGGTGTCGTATGTCGGTTGGTGGGCCTTCAGTTAGCCAGGTCCGAGCATCTGTAATGATCTGTTCCTCCTCTAGCCGCTTCGCTGCCTCTATGTCCACACCTGGAGACAAAAAGGAAACATTAAATACATGTATCCTCTGTTGTGTGTCCACAGTATGAGCAGCACACATCCAGGGTGCATTCCATTTAGCTACAGGTTCAAGTAAAAAAAAAAGTCCAACCCATATGGTTTGCTAGTCACGTTTCAGGCCATGTATGCATTGTTTGTTCATTTGAAAAAGGTTGAGGCATATGCAGAAAAAATTTCAAGCTACTGAGTGGAAAAAGCCTCATGCCAAAAGCCCAGGGGAACTTAGCTGCCATGGATGAAGTGTCAAGTGCAGCTGTCAGTCAATTTAAGGGGGTCTGAATACTTTCCGTACCCACTGTATGTTTAAAGTCTCTTACGCCGTTTATTTTTTTAAATTTTTTTTCACACATCTACTTTTTTCGTGTCATGCACAAATGGGTGCAACATTATGAAAGCCTTACAGGAAATGTGGCCCATGTGCACACTGCTGTTCCTCATTTGACCTAGCTATAAACACTTGCTTTGCTTGTGTCCTCGTTGAACACACAATTTATCATAGAAGCAACATATCAGAATACCAACAATACTGTACCAATACAGAAAATCACTAAAAACAGCCCCAAAAGTGTGTGTATATGCACACACATATATGATATATGGTTCCAATTGCAGCCCCCACAATACAATCAATAAAGTAGAAAATTCTGATCACTCAGATAAAATCCTACTTATGACAAGAATTACTGCTCTGTGGTTATATGTCTCTGCCAATCAGTCAAATTCATGGGAATAGGATGAACATGAGGTCACTGTGACCTTGGTCTTTGACCATCAAAATCTAATCAATTCATAGCTGATTACAATTGGACACTTGTGCCAAATGTGAAGAAATTCCCTCAAGGCATTCCT